CAGATGGCGGCGAGCAACCCGGGGCTTATCTAAGCCAGAAACTTTTGCCCAGGGAAGTAGATACACTGCCATTGAAAAGGAGTGCCTGGCGGTGGTGTGGGCCCTCAAAAAGCTGCAACCTTACTTGTATGGACAACCGTTTACCTTAATCACAGATCACAACAAATTTGGGGCACTGCGCGTGCAATCTAATGTGTCACCAGATAGGAGTGGTGTGTTAAGTAGTACTATTCTTATCAGTTTAATCCCCTATCCGTTGATGTGGAGCAAGACGCAGCAGCAGAAGAGGACTCAGCCGAGGAGGTTATGGAAGAGGATGGAGTAGGAGGAGTAGAGGAGGTGGCAGCAGGCCTGCCTCCAAGTCATGGCGGTGTCACCAACTCCTCTGCAGAGCCACGCATTCCATGCTTGGCAGCCGTCAGCAGGTTTGCCCAATGCGCAGTGTAGGTGATATACCTGCCCTGACCATGCTTTGCAGACCAGGTATCAGTGGTCAGATGGACCCTTGCCCCAACACTGTGTGCCAGATATGCCATTATTTCCTTTTGCACAATCGAGTACAGGTTGGGGATTGCCTTTTGTGAAAAGAAATTTCGTCCGGGTACCAGTGAGTGAGTGGTGGCACTGGGCACAGTATCCACTGTGAGCCTGACACACCCGCTGGCAGACAACTAACTGCTATTCAATCTATAACAGTGAAAAAAGTTTTTAGTTTTTAAATGCAAGCTATTATGACACCAGATATGAGTGGCACTGTAAACTGGCCGAGTACACGTTGTAGGCCTGACACACCCGCTTGAAGACAACTAACTGCTATTCAATCTATAACAGTGAAAAAAGATTTTTGTTTTTAAATGCACGCTATTGTGACACCAGATATGAGTGGCACTGTGAACTGGCAGAGTACACGCTGTAGGGCTGACACACCCACTTTGAGACAACTAATTGCTATTCAATCTATAACAGTGAAAAAAGATTTTTGGTTTTAAAATGCACGCTATTGTGACACCAGATATGAGTGGCACTGTAAACTGGCAGAGTACACACTGTAGGGCTGACACACCCGCTTTGAGACAACTAACTGCTATTCAATCTATAACAGTGAAAAAAGATTTTTGGTTTTTAAATGCACGCTATTGTGACACCAGTGAGTGAGTGGTGGCACTGGGCACAGTATCCACTGTGAGCCTGACACACCCGCTTTGAGACAACTAACTGCTATTCAATCTATAACAGTGAAAAAAGTTTTTTGTTTTTAAATGCAAGCTATTGTGACACCTGTGAGTGAGTGGTGGCACTGGGCACAGAATCCACTGTGAGCCTGACACACCCGCTTTAAGGACACTGACTGCTATTCAATCTATAACAGTGAAAAACATTTTTTGTTTTTAAATGCAAGCTATTGTGACACCAGATATGAGTGGTGGCACTGACTGGGCAAATGGGCACAGTATCCACTGTGAGCCTGACACAGAAGCTGGCAGCAGTGGCAGACAACTAACTGCTATTCAATTTATAACAGTGAAAAAAGTTTTTTGTTTTTTAAATGCAAGCTATTGTGACACCAGTGAGTGAAGTGGTGGCACTAGGCACAGTATCACTGTGGAAGAGCCTGACACAGGAAGCTGGCAGCAGTGGCAGACAACCAACTACCATTTACATTACACGAAAAAAAAAAAAAAAGCAGACTGATGTTCTAGCCCTAAAAGGGCTTTTTGGGGTGCTGTCCTTACAGCAGAGATCAGATGAGTCCTTCAGGACTGTAGTGGACACTGTATACCCTAACCTAGCTATGCATTTCCCTATCTAATCAACAGCAGCTACACTTTTCCCTCCTCTCACTAAGCATGCAGCTTGAGAATGAATGTAAAATGGATGCCTTCCAGTAGGTGGGAGGGTCTGCTAGGGAGGGTGTGCTGCTAATTGGCTGGAATGTGTCTGCTGACTGTGAGGTACAGGGTCAAAATTTACTCAATGATGACGAATAGGGGGCGGATCGGCGCATGTGTTCGCCGTCGCGTGGGAGCCTTGAACATGCTATGTTTGCCGGGAACTGTTCGCCGGCGAACCGTTCGGTGCATCACTAGTTGTCATTAATGGTAAATTTTCAAGCTGGACAAAAGTGGTAAGTGGTGTCCTTCAGGGTTCTGTTTTGGGACCGCTTCTATTTAACATATTTATAAATGATGATTTATAAATAATAAAATGTGAGCAGAATATTGCCTTGCTGCAGAGGGATTTGGATAGATTGGGGGACTGGGCACTAAAATGGCAGATGAAATTTAACGTAGAGAAATGCAAAGTTATGCACTTCGGGGTTAAGAATGCACAAGCAATTTACACCCTAAATGGTAGTGAATTAGGGATAACCACACACGAGAAGGATTTGGTTATTGTTATAGACAACAAATTAGGCAACAATATGCAATGCTAATCTGCTGTTGCTAAGGCCAGTAAGGTTTTGTCATGTATAAATAGGGGCATAAATTCTCGAGATGAAAATATAATTTTGCCTCTTTATGAATCGCTGGTAAGACCACACCTTGAATATGCTGTGCAATTTTGGGCACCTGTTTTAAAGAAAGATATCATGGCACTAGAAAAAGTACAGAGACGAGCTACAAAATTGATAAAAGGAATGGAGCATTTTAGTTATGAAGAAAGGTTAAAAAATTAAAATCTCTTTAGTTTGGAAAAAACGGCGCCTGAGAGGGGATATGATAACATTGTACAAATATATTTGGGGCCTGTACAAACCATTATCTGGAAATCTATTCACAAACAGGGCTATACATAGGACACAAGGTCACACATTTAGGCTTGAATAAAAGAGATTTCATCTAGGGTAAAGAAAAGGTTTTTTTTTTACAGTAAGAGCAATGAGGATTTGGAATTCTTTGCCTGAAGAGGTGGTTTTGTCAGAGTCTATACAGATGTTTAAACTGCAATTGGATAAATACCTGCTGTGGTGACATTCTGTCATCAAACTAATATGGTGACCAGGGGTCATGTGACCAAGCTCATGTTTGCTTTTCTTACAGTGGGATAAGCTTTACCCTTTTGAAATGTTAATTGGTAATTCAATACCTTTACAAGTCAGGAAAGAGATAACCACTTCCCCTTTTCTCCATTCCTCTCTGTTCCTTCTTGGCTGTGCTGCAGAGCAGATGTGCAGACGCCATGTGCTAGCATGGTGAACCATGTTACACTCTGTTGCTTCCTTTTCTTCCTTGGTGGATGTGATGTTGAACTTGCAGCAGTGAGCCATTACTAGATGTGAAGGCCTAACCGTGGGTGAGATCAAGCGTGTGTGGAAGGGGTTACTATATAGATAGATAGATTTAAAAGGGTTGTTGCTCCGTGGGTCTGGGCTGTGTGTTTGTGATACATTTATAATATTGTGTTGTTGCCTTTTAATAAATACCTTTTAATGTAGACGAACCTTGTGTAGTATATATATTAATTTGGTGATACACCACATTTGGCGACCACGAATTTTAGACTTCTACAAAGGTTATTTATGAGGTAATAACACAGTAATAGATAGTCAGATTTATTTTTTGGGGGAGAAAAAAAAAAAAAAGTACTTTGTTTAATTATCCTCTGCATGGGAAATCAAGGACTGATTGTGTGTGGAGTCTAGTTTGGGCCTCCATTTTAATATACAAGCTTGGGCATCAGGCCTCAATTTTGAATATATTAGTTTTTTTTGTGTGTTTCAAATATCTGAGTTGAGTTTTGTTGTGCTTTGACTATCAGAGTACAGGCCTAGCCCTGCATTTGAATACACTAGAGTAGGCTTCCATGCGGCTTCTTTTTGTATTTGAATGCTAATTTGATTCCTTTGTATCCTAGTGCAGACCTCCATTTTAATTTACAAGCTTGGGCATCAGGCCTCAATTTTGAATATATTAGTTTTTTTGTGTGTTTCAAATACCTGAGTTTGTTGTGTTTTGACTACCATAGCTCAGGCCTAGTATTTTTAAAGTATTGGTGATTAAAGGGAAAGATTGAATAGTTGCACTGCATTGGTACTATTGATGTTTCGTCCATTTTTAATAGCCCATGTGCTGTATTGTCTCTTTCCTGTTGCAACTAACTAGAACTAAACTGAATATATTGTAATTGTTTTTAGATGTTACATTTTATACATTTTGTGGCTTCCCTGCATTCTGAGTTTAAATAGCAAACAGTTTTTTTGGGGGGATTATCTTTTGTCTGTTTGAACCATTGAATTCTAGGTAGGAGCATTGTGTTTACATGATAAAGGTATTGGGGCTAATACAGTGTGGTGGCTATTGTTTAGCCAGGCTACATTTTTACACTGGAGTGTGTTTAATAGAAAATGAACAGTTTGTATTTGAGGTAAAGGTGCCTATGTTAGATTGTTATATGGTTGGGAATTATCATTGTGCTGAAGTTACAGTCAGGTATTTTCCAGTTCCCATACCTTCCTTTAAATCATTCTGTTTATTTGTAGACCCCCCATACTGCACTTAAACAAAGACAGAAGGGTGGTTTTGTGTTTTGCTGCCTGTGGGCATTTGTTGTATTGAGACTGTGAAGTTTTTTTCTTAAAAGACAAGAGTTTGTTTGAATAGGTTAATGTGATTAAGTTTCTCAAATGGTTCAATCTCTTTGGAGCCAGTTTCAGGTTTTTTTAAATTAATCCCATTGTTAAAAGCGTGTTGTTTTTTTTTTCCCCTTAGTCTGCTGGTCTATTTCGATTAAAGACCTAGGGAGAGCTCGGTTTTAAAATGTCATATCTAGGTACTAAGTATTTTTCTGCAGAAGTACTAGAGTACTTTAGGAATGACATTGACAAACATGATGGACCATATGAGCTTCCAGAACCAGCAGGCCCCAATTGTGGAAAATATGAATGTTTCATGGATGTTTTGACACAGATTGTTACTAATAAAAAGTGCCACATTAAGAAAAGGAAAAGCTTGGTGGCACAAGCGGTTGTTGCTGCAATAGGGGGTTTGGCAAGCATGGTACTTGAATTGCAGCAAGCTAATTTAGTAACCACTAATAAAATGGAAGATGCTCTTGATGAAAGAGATTGTTTTAAAATAGCTGCCCTAAGAACAAACAAAATGACCGAGGGGTTGGAGAAGGAATTAAAGGAAATAGAACAACAGAGAGATGCATATAGTGCTAAGATCACTGAACTCCAAGACCTAGTCATGGAATATAAAATGAAAATTAAAGAAAACACAAATAAATGGGATAAGGAGATTCCTAGAGTATGCCCAGACCAATCTTATTTTATATCTGAAAATAAAGAACCAGTGCTGGGAACAAAACACAAGGGACATGTGCCAATTGTAAATTGTGTCCCACAAGCCCCTATAATAATAACGGAACATTTTAATATAAGAGAAATGCCTACTAGCTTCTCTAGACAGACAAGGACTATGTCAATCACAGACAAAGTTAATTTCCAGAAATGGTGGGGAAGTATGCCAACTGACGACTTTAACACCTTTACACATTGGTTTATGAGGGGAGCAAATAGAGCAAAAAAAGGAGGTCTTAACTTAGAAGAATGGACAGAACTGTTAGAATATGCTATGGGTCCTTTGGCTAGCAGACTATTTGGATTTAATAACAGTGTGTCTGATCAGGCAGGAAGAATTGCTGCAACTAATTTCTATCTACTTAGCATAGAGAAAGAAACAGCAAATATTACCATGAGGCCAACAGATGGTCCTAGAGAGGTAGCTCAAAGGATATTTTTCTGGTATACTCTACGCCAACCTCAACAGCCTCTAGTGCTGGGCTCACCAGAACATATAGCAAAAGTAATGGAAGCCCTTCCCCGGGAGTGTCAAGAATTTGTCAGGCTTTTTGATCCAACACCAACAGACTTGGAAATGGTACTGACTAGAGCTGATAAGTGGTGGATCAAGCATCCTTTCACAGAACAGGCCTGCTCTGTTTCAGCTGTAAGAACATTTAAGGTCGAGTCTGGTAGAGATGTAGATGGTAAATGGAGAAGCCAGAGGTGGGATGTACCCCAGAACAAGAGGGATAATGAGAACTGGAGACCAAAACAGGACTTTGACAAAAGATGGAGAGATCCACAGAGGGACCATAGGAATAGGGACAGTTCTAAAGGAAGTAATGTAATGGGAGATAATTGGAAAAATAGATGGGAGGAGCCTAAGGTAATCAATAATAATTGGAATAATAATACCTGGGAGAGGCTAAAAAGGAGAGATAACTCGGAAAATCACAGTTGGCAAGAAAAACAGAAAAACAACAGGAACAGTTATAGGGAGAATAATTGGAAAAGGAACCATAGATGGGATGAGCATCAGACCAATAGACGGAATTGGGATAATTGGAGGAATAAAGAAGGGAATACAGACTACTGGGACCTAAAGAGACAGACTGAGAGATTGGAGGCAGACGT